AGTTATTTGTCTGATTTATGAACCTTAAGTCTTATAACTTTGTTCTTATATCATATTTTACTCCATGTTTCGACGTACATGGTAAAATTTTATTAACAATACCTCACACAGTGCAGTTTCGATCAGTACGCATTGACTATAGTAATCCTAAACCAAGTGAAACAATAAACAAAAAAGGACACACGCGTTTTAACACTTCCGGAGTGGAAAATTTGCCATGTTTAGACTCTGTTCTTTTTGTTATTATCAAGAACTCATTTTTGTTTCAATAAGTTTAAAGCTCATTAATATAGAAGAAAATCAAGAATCAATTTATTTGGCTACTTTATGAACCTAAACCTTAAAAATTCGCTATTATCATATCTTATTTTAATCCATATTTTTACGTTAAATGTCAAATTTAGTTAATAATACCTCAACATAGTACGGTTTAGATTAGTACGGATTGACTATAGTAACCCTAAACTTATTGAAACAATAAACAAAAGAGGACAGATGCATTTTGACACTTGTCCGGAGAGGAAACTTTGTTTTTTATGTTATTGACAAAAACTTTGTTTTATTTTAATAAGTTCAAAGCTCATTAATATACAAGAAAAATTAGAATCAATTTATTTGGCTGCTTCATGAACCAAAACCTTATAACATCGTTTTTATATTAAATTTTACTCCTTATTTCTACGTTCATAGTAAAATTTCTTTAATAATAACTCACATACTGCAGCTTTCAACAGTATTGATTGACTATAGAAACCCTAAATGTATTGTCATGTTTAGCCTCTGCTTTCTTTTGTTATTATCAAAAGCTGTGTTTTGTTTTGATAAGTTCAAAGCTCATCAGTATAAAAAAAATAAGTATCAATTTATTTGGCTGCGTTATACACTTAAGTCTTATAACTTCGTGTTTATATCATATTTTACTCCATATTTCTACATTCATGGTAAAATTTCATTAACAATAATACAGCTTCGGTCAGTACGGATTGACTAAAGTAACCCTAAACCTATTGATACAAATGAGGACACACGTTTTTACACTTGTCCGGAGGGTAAAATTTGTCATGTTTTTTATTATCAAAAGCTTTGTTTTGTTTCGATAAGCTCAAAGCTCATTAATTTAGAAGAAAAATTAGAATCAATTTATTTGGCTGCTTCATGAACCAAAACGTTATAACATCGTTTTTATATCATATTTTACTTTATGTTTCTACGTTCAAAGTCAGAATAGATTAATAACACCTCACATAGTGCGTCTTCGATAAGTACGGATTGACATCAAAGCAAACTATGATGCACTTTCTCTAATAAATTATATCAAGAAACACAATAATAAATAATACAAACTTTACAGATATTTCATGAGTAAATGATCTATTAAAGTGTATTGGAAATGAGTAGATAAACACTGAAATAGGGATTGATTTCAAAATAATATTTGCAATTCAAACGGTTCGAATTTGCATTGAATAATTGTCCGGATACGTGTCCACAATTACCAATTCCGAGCTGCAGAATAGGGGCGTCTGATAAAAAAAAAAGTATTGCAGTAAACTTTATCTGCGATTGAAATCTACGCCTCCGTCGCCGCTCTACAAGGGGTGGCGCGAAAATTGAAACCGCGAAATCGATAAACAATTAAAAGCTCGATGGAAGCGCACCAATTAGTTTGTTTGGAAGACGCTTTTCGTAAGGAGTGCAAATGTTTGCAAACAATAACGATAAAAATAGCAGAGATCCAATGTAGAGAAAAGAAACGTCTTTGCACAAAAAGACATGCCTTTTTGGATTTGGCTCCGATTTAATTAAAGTTTACTAACTGCGACCTGTGCAGTATAAAGCTGTTGCCAAGAGTGGATGGATGCATAGATAGTCAGCAACAAGTCTTCCAAGGAATCGACTATTCTCCATTAAGTCGACACCACTACCACTGCGAATTTGCTTAACCCGCAGTTATTATTTTTTTTAGTGTGTGTTTGTGCGTGTGTTATTTATTCATCCCTTATCGCCAGTTTCTGCTCTTCCATCCCAACGTTGGTTCTCTCCGGCAAAGCCCTTTATCGATTACCAAATCCATTCTATATACGTATACACACTTCAGCCGTACTACATTTCTTTTACTCTCTCACTTTTTATTTTTTTCACCTCTCTTTTTCTCCCTTTTCATTTTCTGTATATTTAATTAATCCGGTCTCGGGTTAAATTTAATTAGATCCCCGGAGCGCAGCTCTGGCAATTTATCTCGACTACTTTTTTTTTCTTTCTTCATTATTTCCATTCGTTTCTTGCATAAGCGACGATTGTGAGGTGATGATTTAGTCCCCACCTTGTAAAATACGTATACGCACATATGTTTCTAATGAAATAACTGTTACTTAATTACTTAGTATGCATGAATACCAATGTACCAAGGATTAATGTCATTATGTCAACATTTATTAATACCTGTCATTTCAAAATATAAGTGACAGATGTCAAAAAATGTCAGTTATACCAATTATATTTGCAGAATAATTTGAAGTCACGTGAAACACGTATACGAACATATGTTTGTAATTAAATTACAGTTACGTAATTATTTAATATGCTTAAGTACCAACTAATATGCTTAAGTATTAACATTGTTGATATGTTTGACGTTTATTTATTGACACCTGTCATTTTAAATTATAAATGACAATAATAATAATTTATACCAACTATACTTGTAGAATAATTTGAAGAAATAAATATATAACAATAGTTTTTCAAAATAATGGAATTGTGGACAAGTTACTTGCATAGGTTTTTGTAACAAAAATAAAAACAAATAATATTGCAATAGTTACTACCTATATAGTATTTAAAATTAGGTGAAACAACAGTTACTTGAGTACCAATGTTGGTATATCTGACGTGTATTTATTGACACCTGTCATTTTAAATTATAAGTGACAGGTATCAATAAATAAAATTCGTTTTCTTTCTAGCATGTTTGTAACGAAATAACTATTATGTAATTATTTAGTATGCTTGACTTACAACTTAGGTTTAGTGTCGTGTAGTCAATATTGTTGATATGTCTGACGTTCTTCTATATTGACACCTGTCATTTCAAATTGTAAGTGACATATGTCAATAAATAATTGTCACTATGGAAACTACTTGGAAACATAAAAATAGTTTGACAATTACTTGAAGTTTAACTTGCGCAAGTACAAGTAATTTAAATGAAAGAGTGGAATTGTGGACAAATTACTATGTCACTCATACCAAATATACTTATAGAATGAATTGAAGTCATTGAAATATATTGTAATTATGGAAACTACTTGGCAAGTAATTTGGATGTTAAAGAAATAATTATATAAAAATAGTTTTACAAATACTTTCAGTTTAATATGCTCAAATACAAGTAATTAACATGAAATAATGGAATTGTTAACAAAATACTTCTATAGATTTGTGTAATGAAAATAGAAACAAAAAAATATTGCACTAACTACTAACTGTGTAATATTTGAGATTACGTGAAACAATAGTTATGTGATTATTTAGTACGCATGAGTATCACATCAGCTTAAGTGTCATAATGTCAATGTTGTTGGTATATTTGACATTTATTTATTGACACCTGTCATTTCAAATTATAAGTGACAGACGTCAATAAATAACTGTCACTACATTTGCAAAGTAAATTGAAGTCATTACTATCTATTGCAATTATGGAGTTTACTTGGCAAGTAGTTATTAAAGAAATAATTAGTTTTACAATTACTTTCAGTTTAATTTGTGCAAATACAAGTAATTAACACGAAATAATGGAATTATTAACAAAATACTTTTATAGATTTGTGTAATGAAAATAGAAACAAAAAATATTGCACTAATTAGTAACTGTGTAATATTTAAGATTAAGTAAAACAATAGTTTTGTGATTATTTAGTCATGAGTACTATCTTAGCTTCAGTGTCATAATGTCAACATTATTGGTATATTTGACATTTATTTACTGACACCTGTCATTTCAAATTATAAGTGACAGATGTCAATAAATAACTGTCACTATAGAAATTACTTGGCAATATAAACATAATTTGACAATTACTTGAAGTTTAACTTGCGTAAGTACAAGTAATTTAAATGAAAGAGTGAAATAGTGGACAAATTACTTCTATAGATTTTTTGTACCGAAAATAGAAACAAGAAATATTGCAATAATTACTAACTTGGCAGTATTTAAGTTTAAGTGCGGAGATCATGCTGCGAGATTGGTTCCGAGTTCACTGAAGAGATAAATCCACTCCAACTGTTGGAACACTTACTGATTGAGTGCAACTATTAGCAAAGGTTTCGATCACTGTAACTCGAACAACCGTGTCCGTATCTGTTTTCTCTGGTCCAATTTAACGTAATACCAAAAAGTGTTGGCAATGAAATAAATAACCTATCATATTTCATAAAATGAAACTGGAAACTTTAATTAATAACTAGGTCAAATATGCTGGAAATTTTATACTTTGTTTGATCTATCATAACCATATATTTTCACTTAATAACATGTAGATTTAGTATATGAAATATTTCACTATTTACTATTTAAGGGTTTATTTTATGTAACAGCAAAAAAAATGTGTTCGTTATTAGAAATATGTTAAAAGAAAAGTTACATAAACCCAGTTTCTCGTAAAGGCTAACATTTTTATAAGTGGGTAAAACGGTAGAAGCGCAAACGTTAGTTATTTTGGTAAGATGTGTATCAATTTGATGACCACAGCAAGTCAAGTATGTTTCCTCTATATCGACCGAAGTTGTAGTCGAAGAAGCATCTTGCATCGGAAGTAGTTTTATTTAACTCCTATCATCGCTCCGACAGATATTAAGGGCACAGCGAAAAAAAAATAAGTACAAACACAAATAAAAGCTAAATGCAAAAACGACTACGAAAGTACTTCATGGAAGTAATTGCATTTCTAAAAATACTTTACTTTTTTTTATATACTTATTGTGCATCTTTCTTGCAGATACTCGAGCATCCAAACGCCGGAATGGGCAAAGGAGATAAAAGGACTCCGCAGCGTTCGGACGGTGGTGAGTTGGCAATCAATTTTCTTCCTCATTCTCATCCTTAATGTGCATTTTACGTTTCCTCATTTATCCTCAATTTATTTTTCTTCATTTTTATTAACACCGAAACAATTTATATTTTTTTTTCGACGATGCACCGATTCTCGCGTGTCTTATCAAGTTTTCCAATATAAATGGAAATGTCGTGTCTATCGAACAGTTCCCCAATTTGTAGGAAATTTTCTTTTGCGCCGTCGCCGCCTGCCGCCTGCAGGGGTGTCGCCTCGCTTCGAAATCGTCGCGAGAATTATTATCTGCAAGTCTCGTGATTGCTGCTTAAACGAACAATTAGCATTTTCTAATTAACTGCGAAACTTTAAACGAAAAATAAAGATAGAGCTGCCTCTTGTAATTGCGTTCCCAGTTTTCCATCTAGGGAATTAAAGTGCAGCGTTAGAGTTTTCCTCGCAAAAACAAAAGCAAAAATCTTAATCAAGGCAAAGCTTGACTACTCGTGACTCTTCAATTCCAGACAAAATTCAAATGTTTAATTTATTTTAATACACATAACCCGTTTATTTTAATTGTAATTTTCAATACATTCAATTTGTTGATTTAATAAAGTTTTATAAAAAAAGAAATTGCTTAAATAGTTTTGATAATTTCAAGTTTTATATCTGTTTTTTGGTCAATAAATTTGATTATTATTATAATTATATAATAATTATGTAATAATGAAATAATAAATTTCTTTTCAAGAAAATAAATTTATTGAAAAATCTATTAGTAATTTTCATTTCATTTATATTTGTATGCAATTAAAGAAAATGATTCCAAATAATAAGAAAAAATCAAGTTTAAAAAGGTGAAGAAAATGTGAAATTCTTGTAATACTTTACTAAAGTTTCATGAATTTACTTATTTTCTTACTAGGTAATACATAAAATTCTGTATTTTTATTGTATTTTTAAAGATTATCTAATAGATGTGTTTAAATGAGAATGATTCTAAGAATTTACTGAAGTCAAGGTTGAATATGCGATAGGATAAGTTAATATTTTAGGTAAGGATATGTGAAAATTCTGTAGAAAAATATATTCAGGCAGTTCTTCGTGTAGTTAAACATTCAGTTGTAATTTAGTAGAGTTAATGTAAACCGACGATAAATTGTCTCCAGCGGCAATGGAAGGAACCAGTAATTTTTAATAAACGTCCGTCTGTCAGGTGGAGTGTCTTAAACTCGCGCTCACTGTTTACAGAATAAATCATCTAAGAAATGTTGGAATAACCTCGGTTTTATTTATAGCTTAATTTCATCCAGGTTTGCAGATAAAAAAAAATATCGTGAAAATGGAAATACTTAAAAAAAAAAACTGAGGAAAATAGGGATAAAACAAGGAATTTCTATTGTTAAAAAGTGATCGACGATCGGGCGGAATTTAATTCTCGGCTCCGGAAATTTTATGGAGTCCGCCGGGAAGGAAGGATGCGATTCGATTCCGTTCCATCATCATCATGATGATCATCATCATCGTTGTGGTTCGTCCTTGTTGAGTGGATCCGTCGACCATGCGGCACGAATGCTCGAGCACTCGTAAAACTCCAACGAGGAGGGGTGGAGGAAAGAGCTGAGCCACGGACCGCACAAAAGAAGCCTTCTTCGAAAAGGGAATTCAAATATTTGACTTACATACATTTGGATATACGTATACATTTGGAAAGCCACAGGCGTCGGATGGATTGAAGGTTGAAGGACGAGGGGTTGGCGGGCTCAAATTAAGGTTCTTCTCCCTCTTCGCAAACGCTGACGTACTTCCTGTTAATCTACCCTCAGAAAAGTGAAACGAAAATTTCACAATTTTGCTCTTTTTTTTATATATATATATATACAATTTACTTATATGATTGAAGGCAAATTACGTTTCGACTTTTACTGTCCCATGTTTTTTCATCCTCATCATTCGTTTACGTTCATGACAGTCCATAAAGGACCGAATGTTTCGCGGAGTTTCCGTGCAGATTACAAACGACTTTGCCGTGAACTTCGACATCGATTTGCAATCTAAAAACTTTATCAAAAGAATTTCACAAAGTATTCGTTTGCAATCGTGATTGAAAGTACAATAGCGAGTTTTCGAAGTTTCAGAATTGATTTGTAATTTAGATACTTTCAGCAAACACTCTTTTTCTAACCAAAATTTTATGTAATTTTGTTCTTAAAATTAAAAAAGTTTTCATAATAATTACATATAATTTAAATTGATGAAATTTTCTAAAATTTAAGATTTTCTTATTTCATTTTTTGATTACAAACATGTTTCAAACTACAAAGGATATTTAAGTTAATCCTTCAAGTAGAACTAATATTTGAAATAACCTAGAGTTAGCCCCGAAATAATGATATAGTCCGAACTCCCTTTATCTTCGTAATAAGGAGCATCCCTCGTCGTCCTTGGCTGCGCATCCTTTGTGCTCGGAAATTCTATTATAGTTCTCGCGGATAATAACAGTAACTTACTCGAGAGTTATTCCTTGGGTATCATGTAACACGGTTCCTGCAAATTACGTCTTTAATAAGAGGACGATCTTGCCGAGGACACCTTTGAAATTAAAGGACCAAAACTTAAAACTGACGACGATGAAATAAAGACGTTCTCTCTTTATAAACCAAATACAGCAAAACTACAATACACCAAGAAAAATCGTCTATTACGAATGGTCGCTTTAGGCTAAATCTCTGCAGGATGGAGAACACGGTAATATATTATCTCTGTCCGCCTAGCGCGACATCTGTCTGGCTCATATCTTCGCGCAGGATTTTCAAGAATGAAAAACCATCTTGTTATTTCCCATTTCTATCCTGCTCGGCCTCCGAGAAAGTCATTTAAAGAGGATGCCCTATACTAAGTACACAATTCTAAATTCAAGAGAATCTCACTGCTGCTGCTGCTGCTTTTTCTTTATTTTTTCCGTTTCGTTTAGTCCTGGAGATGGAAAGAAAGCTGGGGTTCATTAGCAGAACAAAGGCTCTCGCCTTTTGCTAATTCCTCGGAGCGCTTTTGATGTGCTCCCCGTTTGTTTTTTTCGTGGTCCTATGAAAACCGAAAATCGGGATTGAAAGGTTTGTTTGGTAGCAGGTTTACTGATGATGATGAGCGATGAAGCGTGCATTAGATGAAACATATTGGTTCAAAAAACAAAAGAAATTCATTAGTAATACAAATACTTTGTGATTTTGATTAATCTTCAAATTATTATCAAGATGTTTTTGCATCAATCTGAAGAATGTACAATATAATGAAAAAATATTATAAAATTTTGATTATTTATTGTATTTTTCAAATAATTAATTAATTAAGATATTTTGTACCAAATTACATTTAACACCAATTAAATTCAATAGTAGTTTTATAGTTGAAATAGTGCAGAATTAGATTAGATTAATAGAAAAAGCATTTCAATTTTTGAATTATCTTTTATAGTTTTTAAATAATTAGCAAATACAATATTTTTGTATCAATTTACGCATTTTTTTTTTAAATTTAAATTAGACACTAAAATCTTAATAAAATAAACAGGATTTTATTGTTTAAACATAAGTAAGTTTGTATAATTTCTAGTATTATTAAATAATTGAAACAGATCTATGTAGATTTATGTAAGAAATTCAGCTAAAATTATGGCCGATATTGATCAAATAAAATTGGAAAAATATAAACTATAAGTTTGTTAAACTCTAAGTCTTTACAGAGACAGTTTATTTGATAAAACTATATGAAAATTGAAAGGTTCGATGGAAGGAAAAATGTATTAAAACTTTCGCGTTTCAATTGAAACGCGCGTAATCGTGACGCGAATTGTAATATTAAGGGAACGGGGATGATTTATGGCATAACTTTATGCAATTCGAATTGGATTCACTTTGCGTCCGACGAAAAGTAACATATAATCATAATAATATGAAATGCCCAACGATGTGCATTTTCTTCTCTTCTCTTCCTTTTCATTCGTTTTCATAACATTATTAGCCATCAAAATCGCGCTATAAAAAACGTGAATCCGTTCCTTTCCACAGATTTCGCATAA